TAAGATTAATATAATATATCATAATAGTGTTGTGTAATATTTATTATGCATAAATATCATGAATTATTTGTTTATTATAAGTAAACGAACTTAGCCGCTGGACACAAATACAAAAGTACACACAATATTTTTATATGTAGGACAATCTATAAATAATATACTTACGCGATATACTGATATATACATATATGAATACACCGATACACAGTGCGATTGAATTCAATATAATTGAAAAGGCGAAGGAAGGTTCAACATTGGCTATGAACAATATTTTCATAACTAAATAGTCCTGAGGACAGTTTGTATGAAATAAATGTTTAGTGCACCTAACATAATACTTTGAGTTTTCAGGAATTTATAATAATTGTTATCATGTAGATATAAATAAAGTATTAGTGTACCTAATACTTTTCTTTATACCAAAGGGCCTGTACACTTTCATGTATAAATATACAATCTATATATATACAATAAAAATAATATTTTTAACAAAAATGTATTTGATCTTTATAAAGATGTTGTCAGTTTTAAATCTTAAAATAATCTAAGTCATTTTAAAGTTAAATAAATAAATAATATAAGCACACACACATTGATTGAATCAGTACTTTTTATTTGCATAACATCATTATAATTAAACCTATATCCGTTGTATAAGGAAAATAATCATACATACCTACATAACTAGTATGTTAGTAATTGTAATTACAAAGTTTAAATTAAAAAAAAAAACTTTTATGTATTCTCTGTGTAACTTGAAATATTGTGAGTTGAATTTATTTTTTAGAATTCATTGTAAATAACTAATAAGTAATAACCTATATTTCGAAGGCTACTGAGAATTGAATATTTGGTTTATCTTATATACCGCTTTGTTACGGTTTATCATAAAATAATTTGATCATAACGAGTAGTTGAATGATTTATTTTATAGCCTTAGATATAATACATTATATAGCATTCAAAATGGTTGTAAAACATACTCATAGCATTGTATTTTAAAATAAAGTAATACACGTTTGAATACTGAATGGCCCTATAAATTAATTCAAAAAATGTTTAACTTAAAACCATTGTTTACGTAGCATAGATTTCGTTTGGATTTAATTTATTTTAATTTCATATACAGACTCAATGCAAATTGAAAATAATTCTTGAGAAGAAATTATTTTCTCTTTAAAAAGCACGCATTCTAAAATATTACATTATGAAAACACTCTCAACTCGATTAATAATATTATTGAAATATCATAAAAATAAACATAAAAATAAGTGGGACAATGTTCTGACCTTTAAATTTGATAATAGGACAATTCACTTCATAGTATTAAAGCTTAAGTTAGTTCTCCTGAATTCAAATTTGGTATGCCATATATCGGTACGTTGTGAAAATGAAGACAACACATTAAGGAGTGTGGTATCCTCTTAAGACTTAAGTAATAGTAGGTGAGGTACCAAAGAGAACCATATAGTTGTATGTCATTTGACTTGAAACGTAACGTTTTAGTAATTAAATATAAAAACGTTTTCGTCTACACAAAATCTTTTAATGTATCTACTATAATACAGTATCGCAACTTGTTTTCTTCGAAGTAAAACATTCTTTTTCTAGTTAAATGGAATGCATTTTATTGATGCTCTTAATTTTCAAGTTTATTGTTTATATCACTTATTTGTAAAATATTTAACTAACTCATAGGACATTAAGATAAGCTGCTCTCTATACACCTTTTTCTACTCTTGCGATTCGTCAGTAAAACTTTACACAACATAGCACTTTTATTATACTATACAAAATAGTTGTCGGTGAGATTTTCTACGTTTTCTACAGCGCAACCTTAAAGACCTCGTGGTACCTAATATACTTATATTTAAATGTATGTCGTCAACGAGGACGAGTAATGCTGTGTGTGTGTGTGTGTGTGTGTGTGTGTGTACACGCCATCAGTGTATGTGTAAAAATGTGTGTGGTGCTTTTAAAATTATAATTTTAATGATATAATAATATAATCACCATAGTTTGTTCAGCCTGAAAAATGAGGCATACTTTAGAATCATTAGTCATAATTATCATTTTTGATCGGATTTCAACGGATTATACCCTCTCGTAGAACGCGACAATACGATATACCTGTTATTCGTTTGAATTTTCGAATGCTTCCATTTATACACAGGCACACCGCGACATATCATACCATATATACGTTATTATACAGGCATGTGTATACCGTGAGTACCTACGTAACTCTATTGTGTGCGGAATCCGCATCGTCGGGAAAGCGTCGTTGAAAGTCGTTATGACCGGAAATTTTTCAAATAAGGGGAGAACATAACATTATTATTATTATTATAAATGGACGCGGTCTTAACGCATCAACTCATCGGGCGGTATTGTGTGAAAATGAAAAACGCACCGCATTATACACGCAGACGACATAGGCATACACGTTTACGCCGGGTTGTTTGTCAACGGTATAATATTATGTACCCATCATATTCATATATATATATATATATATATTATACTACGTGCTTTGATACAATAATAATATATAAATCCGTTGGTTTACGGAGCAGCGATTCCGCCCGCCGCGCTGCAAACATGATCTCGGGATAAAGGTCATAAAACGATATAGGTACAATGCGAGTACAATGCGTCCGGCAATTTCACTTTTTAGACGCCTCTATACATAGTGTTTTCTATTATTTTCTTGAAAGCCCGTGTAATTTGGTCGTAATCGTAAAATACTCGCGCAGGGCGATAACTAAAAAAAAAAACCGAATAAACACTCGTTTTTGTTCACGGTGACGGGACATACACATAAAGTTTGTTTTTGGATATAAAAATTTAAGCTGCAATGTGCATCTATAGAATAAATATGTGTGTGAGTGTGCATGTGTGTGTTTTAATCACGGCCTGTGGTTACAGTGCGGCGGTGCCGGTCTCTATATCCATATAATATATAATAGCTGGTGTCAATTTGAGTAAAATTCCTGAATCCCACTCGAGATCGGAACAATACTTTAGGGTTCAGATAAGGATAAGTGTTTTATTATTTTCCCTTTAAATTCAAATTTGTGTTAATGAGCTTGGGAGTCACATATTATAAATATGTTCCCGTACACACACATATACGTATATAATGTATTATATACATACCTACTGACGAACCGGTTGCCGCACAGGAACCTTATGGTACTATTTTTCTGACCGGCAACTATATAATAATATTATATACATTTAATATTCTAATCGATTTCGAACAGGCGCCTCCTTTTTACCGACAGTTATTATTCTTTTGACTCGGACGCTTTAAATGCAACCGCCAACCGCCCCCTTCTATAATAAACGTTTTCGGTTACATCAATGATGATGATAATAATAATATTATTTTTATATGGATCGTCGTTAGAAACTTATATAAGTAATAACAATAATAATAACTATTCGACCCGTTAGCCTTAACACGCTCTCCTCTCTATAATGGACTCATTTACGTAGTGAAATATGTTTATGAGGTTCACTACGCCAGTCAGAAAACGATTTTGCTATCCAATATGAATATCCGGTTTTAACAACTGCAATATTGTATAAAACTATCGAAGGGACTCAGAATATAATATGAACGTTTACGATAATCTCGATTATTATGTATTTATTTTAATATTTTTTTTTTTACACAACAGAAAAAATACAACGGCAAAACATGTGAGCGACGTTTTCGTGTTTTCTTCATAGTTAGGTTATGGGTACATTTATTGTTAAATTTTATTACGTTAAAATAATATATTAACTATGATCTTGAGTCAGTTCGCCTTAAGCTGCCTTGAGTTGTTATACACATATTACCTATAAATAGTGCCTATAATATGTATAATGTTGTTTTTAACTCTCCGTCACTTTATATAAAAAAATATTTTTCATGAATCATTAAAAAGCTTAAAATATGTCCACTATAAAGACATAATATTATATATTTTTATATTATAACTAAAATGTTTATACATATAAAGGTACATTTTAGCATTATAATCTACGATATTATACGTAACGGAATGGCATAAACGTCACGGATTGGATATAATATAACTTATTACTGCAGTTATATGTGTATTTTATTATATTCTATATCCTATACGACAAAAAATAGTATGCATTTTCAGAATAATACACGCTCAATTTATCAGCGCAATATAGCAATTATTATTTAGAAAATACTAATTATTCGAGTTTATAACCTGTCCTATTTATAATATATTATGGAAAAATATTCCAACTAAATAAGTTAAGCCAATCACGGAGGTTATTATGGGGAATTGGAAATATAAAATCGATCGAATTATATTTTATTTACTGCGGATTATAATAATACGGCGTTGTCGTGATGTTTATCACTACGAAGATGCGTACACAATATAAGAAACTTGTGTTCTACTTCATCATAATGTTGTTATTGTATAACAATAGCTAACATTATTAGGTATACCTATTTAGATGAATATTCATCGTAATTCGGTTCTATTAAAACCACCGTGATAGATATTATGATATGACCGATCAAGGCCTTTAATTAGACATGAGTAATTCTTGATTAAGTATAGGTACGTGATGTTAATTGGAATTTCGATAACATTTAAATGGATCGTCGGAAAAATAATGTATGTATGTCTATTTTTTTGGCGCCACATTATCACTGCACTAGATATACATGGTTGTCAGTTGTCGTTATAATTATATATATCATACTACACTATAATCGTCATTCTGTTAAATCGCTACAATAATTTGTATAATGTAATACGATCTTTATGCCAAAACTTTTTACTAAACAATGGAACGTGTCACACGTTTATAAATAAGCAGTATGGGCGCCAGGCGCCTAGGTGGTGTACTATATTATAATATATTATACGTTTTATTTACCGCATATTATATGCTTGTATCGTACTCACGTGCATATGTATTTATGAATTTATGAACATTTAATTTTTTTTTTCAGTTATCCTGCAAAGAACTTCGGTGAACATGGGACAGCTAAACATCCAAGGCGTAGCGACGTGTATGTACTTGTGCATGGACGCATGCGGCTTACTGTATGGCTCGGTAAGGCAATCATGCATATTATAATAATGTATACTTACAAATTACAATCTACATATTATTATATGATACCATTTTCCACATAACATCTATGATAATATCAAAACGCGTCCTCGACTTAAATAGTGACGCAATCGCGTCATATTGTACCTACCTACCTAGATATATATTATATCATATTCGTCAATATATATTATAAATTATAATACACAATATAGAAACTTAAATCTTTAAAAACAAAAAAGAATGATCGTGGCTCGTCATAATGCGCTCGTTTATCGAACTATCGATTTTTCGCTGTAATTAAATAATGATGATAAAGCGATATAACATTTCATAGGTAACAGCTGGTATACAATATCACAACGCGGTAGAACAAGATTGCTCGTGTGCGTGTTTTCTATACATCTTATCAAGCAGCTTTACAACCTACTTGTGACAATTATGTTCTCTATTATAGTCGCACCATTGCCTGTAGCAGTGATTTTTTTCTCATACGAAACACCATGTTATTATATAGTTAAGTACACATTGTAAATACAATGTATTCATCGTAGCAATTCTCAGGGGCGTAATTTCAGTTTTTTTTTTCGGGTGTGCAAGGTTACAAGCAGGCCATTTTGAAATTTCACCAGGCCATGTGAATATAGATATACCTGATATGTACATTATCCTGCTTTTGATTTTTTCCTTAGATCATGGGCCCCTTCAAAAATATAAATGGTAAAGAGCAATTTAAAAACTAATAGATAATAATTAATAATTGTATCTATGTGAAAACCAGTAATAGTAATAATATGCATAAAAAACTCGAAGAAAAATGTAGATAAAAAAATTAAACCCCATAGTATTATGATTACTTAAAATTTAAAAAAATCTATTGGGTAATTTTAATAGTTTAACGTATATCGTAGCAATCCTTGGATTTTAAATTTATTATTTTATTATAGTGTTCTCGCTTATCAATTAACTATATATTACCGCCAACTGTACGGTATAAAAATAAACAGTTGTAAACCATGAGACCTACTAAGATTCAATATAGTAATAACTAATAAATTTAACCTGTGGTTTAGTGTGATAACTGATAAACAACTGTTGTAGACATAGGCCTGATAATAGATTCTTGTATATATCTTCAAATAGATCTGTTATAGCAGGTCTATGGTTATAGATTATCTTCCATAGTTTTAGAATAATTTATAGAGTATACCTACTACAACTGAAGTGTTCATTGTTTACTCAATTAATTGATAGAATATTGGTTGATATTTTATTTCCACTGTTAATATAAAAATTCAATTTAAATTTAATTATATAAACAATGGTACATTATATTTACTCCCATTATTTCATAACAGACCAATTGTGACTATTTTATAAGTAAGGGGTGCAAACATACACCCTGACACCCCCTCTCCAAGTTACTGATCGTGCTCTTGGTCTTACATACAAATGTGTTTTATTTGTATACTATTCCGCATATTGCAGGATTTAGTCTGGACATATTATATTTTACGCTTGTAGTGTCGACTGCCAGTTAAATGAATAATAATATGCAATTTGTTGAGTCTCGAAGATGTTTAAAACTTTACATGACTGTAATATTAACGTAATTTAGAACCGATCGATTTTCTTTTCGATTGTAATCTCGCTTCTATTTGGTCTTGCGTAAACAAAATATAGGTACCAAATACAAGTGTTGTGTATTCGTAAAAAAAAAACACCTAGTAAGTTATATACTAGACACAATACCTATGACATATTATACTCTATAATATTGATACGTGTATACTTTAGTGTGGGTCTTTACACGCACAGAAAAATATACGTTTATAAAATATCCAATAAAATACTGCGATACGTAACTAGGACGACGTCCGTTCTTAATGTGCTATATATGTTTAGCAGAAATATGCACGTGTACATGACACTGTGACAGCGATTTAACCTACACCATACACAAAACCCATGTATTTTGTATCTGGTTTATCTAAGTGAACAGTTGTAGAACTTCGTTTCGAATGAAAATCATTATAAATCAAACACATGAAACATAACGTGTCCAAAAATATATAATTTGCATTCTGGTTAGGTATATTGGGATGCACGTCTTGTAAAAAATAAAATTACATTTGACAGCACGCAACTGGTGTATGTTATAAAATGTAGTATTTTGACAGATTAAACGTTCTTTGGTTTTTTTTTATGCAGGTATACTTAATAATTTCATAAAGTTTGAAAAAATTAGTTATACATTTTTTTTAAATTCATTTAATTTTAACACCTACATAATATTTTGAGATTCGATCGGTGTATATATTATAATTTATAGTACATAATATGTTGTCCAATAAGATGCTGACCAAAAATATCAGAGTGTCTGGATGTGCTATGAGCCATTAAAGTTATTTAAAATTATAAACATTTTAATTTGTGAACGCGTATCAATAATATAATATATATGATCATCGTTCAGCGTGTCGAACATAATATACTATGTGTGTATGAACTGCTTATGAATAGTGTAAATTAACGTCAGTCGTTGCACTTCAATTATAAATTGATTGGAATTTTTTCGCTTAATAAAAAAATTGCAACTTCGCTTGACGGCAAATCAATTGTTCAGTATTCAGACTACTAGTTGCTTGTATTTTTTGGTTTAATTTAATTTAAATATTTCAATGAGTTACTAGACTGGTTTATCGATCATAATATACACAGTGTGGAGAACAAATTATAACATTTACCTCTTGGAATTTACTATGAGTGTATATGTATATATATATATATATAGACTGAGCACTGGCGTTAATAAAATTACGGTGAAAATACTCGAGCATTTATTTTAATAGGATATGTACGATTTATAATTTGTTAGAATAATTCGAAATTAATATAGGTATATTACGGCACAAAATAATCGTTTTGGAAATATGAAAATGTATAATTTAAGCATAGAATTAACTGTATACACGATAGTAGTATAGTCTGTACCACTCTGCAATAGCAGAATATTTGATAAATATTTATCATGCGTGTTACCTGCATTATTTTCAAACACGGCTCGGTAAATTATTGTTATTATTTGTCCATGATTATCGGTTATTAGTTATTACAAGTTATTATTTGATCATCTAATAATTGCGTCGAAATCACGGCGGTTTACATATAACAATCGTAAGAGTAGTTGGTATAAAGCGTGCATTCGTCCGCAATCGATATAGGTACTAGGCTACCAGCTATTATCGACATTATTTACTAATCATAATTAACGTTTTGGGAACGGGAAGTGTTTTCTGTCGGTTTCCAATCCAAGAGATTAATCGATTATTCGATTAATCATTGAAATGTATTTTGATCTTTTTTTTACTTTCTAATGATGTATAATATAAACCTCAGCCTATTGCTAACCTACGATTGCGTAGGTATACACAAACAGCGGAATTATCTGTATACGTACTGCGTCAATATTAAGTTGTACATTGTCATATTTTGTTCCCTGCGTTTTTTAGACAAAATAGTGAAGCTGATATTATGAGCTATACGTATTATATTCCAGATTATAACATATTATGTATAACTGACGTAGGTATACGAACATTTTCAAAAAACAAACAACCACTATCTTAGCCGACGCGATCGTTCAAACAAAAACAAATGAAAAAATCCTACACGACATTACGCGTGTGCTTGTCTCACCTGTCCGTCTATACAAATAATCATAGAAAAAATTTTAAAAAAAAAAATCGTATTTTTAATTGTTTTTAACTCGTCGGTTCACTCATAGTTCATCGCGTGGTTTAATTGGGGACGGTAGTCGTTAATCCAAGTCGGGTTATAACACAATCAATGGGTTAACATCACGTGTATGCATACATGCTGCACCAGAGCAGTGGTGGCCGATGCTGCGACCGATCATTGTTATAATTAGTGATACGCGTACGGACGTTGAACTCGTCGAAACAATAATACGAATCACACACGAATCCGATGTCGCGGTCGTCTCGGATTCGCCAAACGGAATTTGTGGAAACGCTTCCTGTGCATATTGTGCAACGTAGTTTCTACGCGCGTGGCATTACGGATCTTATGGTGTTTTGGTATGGTGTTGATTATATTATTTCAATATAGACGAATTACGCACTTGCGACACACATAATATTATAGTTTGTAATAACTAGTAGTATATAATATTAATATGTGTATGTACAGTGACATATATTATTATGAGTAGTATATATTTACAGGTGTTTATAGTAATTTTATAATTTTCGTCAACGTATACTCTACACCGTCAAATGGCGCCGATGAATCGCAGAAATCACATTGCGAATATTATTTTCTTTATCGTACAATATAATATGCATGCAGGGTGTCTGGCAGTTCTGACTTCATCGGTGCGTCCCGTAGGTACATATTATTATACTAGGCTACAGCTCACTATTATAATTTTCCCCTCACATATTTGTATGCTTCAACATATTTTAGTCTCTTCCGTAGTATGTATAAAATTTATTATAACCCATATATATTTGAAAATTCTATAAATCAGAATTTGAATAAATTCATTATTAAAAGGAAAAATCGGGGTGAGCATGCTTGGCGGTGGATTACTCTGAAGAATACAGTAGGTTGATGACTTTAAAAATTCAATAGCTTTATAAAAATCATATTGAAAAAAAATCCACAAACAATCAAAAAAAAAAAAATCATTGTTGTGAACAAGCACGGCGAGATACACTCTGTAAAAATGAATGTAATGAATGTAAGATTTTTTATTTATTCGTCCGTATTTCACTCATTATATCATCAATGTCTGATCATCGCAGCTCGATCGTAATGATATCATATGCGTTATTTGCTCGGTGGACACAATTCGCCGCTTTCAAACGCATATCAATGAATTCGGTTTATCTAATAATTATCAAGCGTAATCTTCCCATTATATTATTTAGGTATATACGTATATCATTATGTGTATTATATTTTCTACGACGCCG